AGCTGGGACAGAGCAGGTCACAGCAAAGAGGTTCACAGCCAGGCCTGTGGAGTCAGAAGCTTGGGTTGGAACCTGGCTCATTCGCTAGGTGACCTTGGGAGCCTCTCCAAAGCTTAGTCTCCTGTCCATGCGATGATAAGAAGAGCATAGAGAGTAGGCATCAGTAAATAACTATTGATTGACTTTTTCAATAAAATGGATGAATTCAAAGCCAGGATGCCAGGTCCTGCTTGTCTTCCAAGCATAGGACAGCTGTGTCAGTCCAGCGATGCATTTCCAGAATTCTGGATGAGGAGACCAGAAGTCGAGCCCATAATTGAGACAGGTCAGGAGTGCTGTTTTCAAACCCCACGGCTGCTTCCCTCTCCTCACCGCCCATCCCTCCCCTCTGCTGCCTCCCTGTGGACACATCATGCTCTGCTAGCTCTTCCCTCCGCATTGTTTGGTTTTCATCATAGTTTAAGTCTGGCTCCTTCCTTTGGAATTATATCCAAGAGATCTACTTTGTAGTTTTATTTATTAATTCATTTCAATAAAACAGTGATTGGCATAACTCCTGCTAAGGTAACCCAGTGGGTATAAGGATTAAAATATGTTTTCTTTAGTCAACAGGGTTAAAATTAACTTTCGGAATTGAAGTTCTTGGCCTAGATGTGGAGAAAAGGGAGCCCTTGTACGCTGTCGGTGGGATTGTAAATTCGTGCAGCCACTGTGGGAAATGATATAGAGGTGCCTCAAAAGAGCTAAAGTAGAACTACCATATGACCCAGCAACCCCACTTCTGGCGATGTAGCCAAAGCAAATGAGAACAGTAACACGATCTCTGCATTCCATGTTCACAGCAGCATTATTTACAGCAGCCAAGACACAGAGACAGCCCTGGCTGGTGTAGCTCAGTGGATTGAGCGCCGGCCTGCGAACCAAAGAATCACTGGTTCGATTCCCAGTCAAGGGCACATGCCTGGGTTGCAGGCCAGTTCCCAGCAGGGGACACATTAGAAGCAACCATACATTGATATTTCTCTCCCTTTCTCTTTCCCTTCCCCTCTAAAGATAAATAAATAAAATCTAAAAAAAAAAAAAGATACAGAAACATCCTAAGCATCTGTCAATGAAGGCATGGTTAAGGAAGCTGCGGTATGTATATACAATGAACCATTGTTCAGCCATAAAAAGAAGGAAATTCTAACCAGTCGTGACAACATGGGTGGACCTTTAGGGCATTATGCTAAATGAAGTGAGGCAGACAGAGAAAAATTTATACTGAATGCTCTGACTTATATGTGGAATCTAACTTAAAAAAACAAACTCCCATCCTCACCCAGACTCATAGACAAAGAGATCATTTTTGTGGTTACCAGAGGCAAGGTATGGGGGAGGGGCGATCAGAGGTAAAAACTCCTAGTTATGAGATAAATAATTACTAGGGATGTGGTGTTGGGGACTGCCCTGCCTGGTTTCAGGAGCTGAAACCCCTCATGGCTAAGGCTGAGTGAGTGACCTTTGGACCATAAGCCGCTAAGGAGACAAAGCTTATCTCCCTGGCAGGAGCTCCTTCTGCTTCTGCTCCTTTTTCCATAACTGGCCTCCAAAGCTTGATCAGTTAGCCAATGATGGGTAAGATTCCCCAAGGGGGGAACGACCTAAGACAGGCGTGATCATGTGGAGGCCCCAGGGAAGGACTTGGGGGCTTATAGAGAAAGGGGGTGATGGACCCTCACCCCCTGGCTTTGACGAAGCCTGAGTCCTTGGTCTGTCTGCAAGAAGTCTCTGAGAATTCCTTGGCTATCTGCCTCCTCTGCCTGACTTAAGCCTGAAAACAATGACAGAGGGTGGTGCCGCCTTGTGCTGGGAATGGCGGGTTCCCCAGGGTAATCAGGCATAAGAAAGAATTCCTAAAAGTCCTGTGAACCTGCTTTGCTAAGAGTGTTTTCATTCATATGATAAAGGTCCGAGCAGGAAATGAGTATGTCTCCTAAAGTTTCTGCAACCCCCTTTCCTGACTCAGACTAAGCCCTCAGATTTTTTTGAAATGTTATCTACTGTTTGATCCTTGCTGCCCTGTATTCCTGTGTATTACAACCCAATAAAAGCCCTGGAGGAAGGGGCTCCAGGTCCTTCCCCTTTGAGGGATCGGCCACCTTTCCTCCCTAAGCAGATTATGTCTTGGTAGTGTTTACTTTCATCTGTGGCGGACGGGGGGGCTTGTGGGCAAAGTCGCCCCAACAATGTGGTATGGAACATGATCACTATAGTGAGCACCACTGTCTGACACGCAGGAATGCCGGTAAGAGAGCAGATCCTAAGAGTTCTCCTCACAAGAACATTTTTCCTTCTCTTGCTATCGTTTGTGTAGGAGATGACAGGGGTTAGCTAACCCTGTTGTGGTCATCATTTCATGACATGTGTGAATCAAGCCATCGTGCTGCGTGCCTTAACCTTATACATTGATGTATGTCAATGATTTCTCAGTAAAAATGGAAAATGGGAAAAAATGGAAGCTCTAAGGTAAAGAGGAAAAAATGTTCAGGGCATGTTCAGTGCTGATGGCATTATAATCCACTGCCAAAGAACCTTCCAAATTGGTCCAGCTATTCAAATTGCTTTATGAAGAAAAACATTGAAATTTAAAATAACCGGAAAATGACCCTAAGAGTAGGGCATGAGGTGCAGGCAGGCCCAGAGCATGACGTTAGAGTCTCCCTTACTAAGAAAATGTACCTCTTGCCCTGGCTGGTGTAGCTCAGTGGATTGAGCGCGGGCCTGCGAACCAAAGGATTGCAGTTGGATTCCCAGTCAGGGCACACGCCTGGGTCGCAGGCCAGTTCCCAGCAGGGGACTCACGAGAGGCAACCACACACTGATATTTCTCTCCTTCCCTGCCCCTCTAAAGATAAATTAAAAAAAGAAAAGAAAATGTACCTCTTGACTTAAAATTTCCATCTGACCTTCAACCCTTCTCACCCCACCACATTATTCTCTGTAGAATTTTCCCCAGGAAACAAATTGTGCACAATTCACTTATTTCGTTCATTGTCTCCCTTCTCCAGCAGAATGAGGGCAGGCATCCGTGTCTGTGTCGTCCCGTGATGCGGCCCAACTCCTGAGAACAGGACAAGTTAACTTAATCGCTTCGTACCTCAGTGTCCTCATTGTGTCGTGGGTTTGAAAATAGTGCCGCCCTGGCGGCTGTGGGCCAGTTGGTTGGTGCGTTGTCCCGAACACCAAAAGGTTGGAGGTTTGATTTCAGGTCAGGGCACGTCCTTAGATTGTGGGTTCGCTCCTTGCTTGGGGTGAATATGGGAGGCAACCAATCGATGTTTCTCTCTCTCCCTCTTCCTTTCTCTCTATAATCAGCAAACATATTTTTTTTAATTCAAAGAAATAGTACCTACCTCATAAGGGTTTGATTAGGTAATGTAATATATATAAAAAGCTCAGGATAGTTCCTGGAGCATCCGAAAGAGCTACATAAATGTTTGCTAACATCATCACCACCAACCTCCTTGTTACTGTTATGATTAGTTCAGGCAACAAAAGCAACTTGTGCGGAGACCTGAGGGCGGGAAGCGGTGTGATGTGATGGAGAACCGGACGGTAGTAGTGGTGATGCCCGTGGGGAACAGGGGCAGGCGGGGACCGTAGCACAACTTGAAATCATGTTACATGTTGCATTTTGCAACTGCTTATGATCTATTTCTGCCCACTGAGATGCACGTTCCATGAAGAACTTGCTTGAGGAGCTTGCATTTAGTATTTAGAATAGCCACTGATGATATCAGTGTCTTCAGGGACAGCTCAATAAATGACAGATTAAGTGTTTTGAACTTTGTCCTGCAAACTATGGTGAGTCAGTGAAGCAGGTAACCAGACACTAGGTGAGAGGCTAGGAGGTGAGCCAACAGTTCCTCACGATAAACAGTGACCGGGGCTGAGGTTAGTCACTGCTTTGCAGGTGGTAGTAGAGGACTTGGTACTGGTACGGAGATGAAGACTAGCAGCCAGCGGTGCTGCCATATATGGAGACGGAGAAAGATTAGGAGCAGACTGAGGGAGAGGTGACTGAGGTCTCTGTTTGGGGCAAATTCAAGATCCGTAGAGAGGCTAGGGCTAGAGAAGAAGGTTTGGGTGTCATTGGGGTGGAGGGGCTGATAAAGACCCAGCGTCTGGATGGCATGACCCTGGTGAACATCAATCATGTAACCACATTCTGCTCGCCATCCATGACTCTCTCCGTGGTTTATCACCTCAGCAAGACCGGATATTCTCTGAGGACAGAAGTACTTCCCACTGTAGCTCAGTGCTAGGGACATGGTCAAGAGCAGAACATCGAGAGCAGAGAAGAAACTTAAAAATCATATTACAGGAGAGCACTGAGACCCAACGTTGTTAAGCAAACCCACCCGAGGTCACTCAGTTAAATAGCCACAGCTCTAGAAATGATGAATTATAAATAGCCACTGCCCTGGCTGGAGAGCCAGGTCTCCAGAATGCCAGCAAAATGCCCTCTGAGGACAGTGAGTCGAGCGTGGCCCAGACTGGTGAGGCGGCTTTGACTTAGAGCTTCCTTCACTTTGCTGAGCCTCCGTTTCATCCTCTGCAGGACTGTTTTGGAGTAACTGGGACCATGTCATTGGCAAAGCAATGAGCATGGCGCCAGGCCCCCAAATCAGTGCTCAACAAATGTTTATTTTCCATTTGTTTCCTCCAAGGAAACAGGGGATTTGCAATAACGTGGGAAGGACAGAGCTGGCTGCTGTGACCTAAAAGGCTGAGAGGTGAGCAGCGTGACCTTGTACGTCAAATCGGTCAGAACCAGTCCCAGAAGGGCCACCACACTTTTCCTAGGAGTATAAAAGTTCCATCTGTTTTTATACCCTCTAACCTACCAAAAAAAAAAAAAGCATCTTCTGCCCAGGCTGTCCCTGCTGGAGTGGGTGTGTGCATTTACTTGGCACCTTGGTCACTCCTTCCTTGGCTCCGCCCCCCTGGCACCGGACTGACTGGAAGGAGTTTTTTCTGGCTGGCTACAGTGTTTGGAGATTAGTTGCTGACAAAAAGCAACAGAGGAGGCGTCTGAGTGGAGAAGGTAAGCGGGGCAGAAGGAGGAGAGTTGGAAACAGTTGAGAAGTTCTTTTTTTGAAGGATTCCTTGGGCTTTGGGGACTGGAGGGGGAAGAGGGTGTGAGACTCCAGGAGAAGGAGAAGCACAGCTGCCCCAGGACCCTTGGGTCCTGAACCTTCCCGAGGGCACGGAGTTCTGCCACAACCCACACATGATTTATTCAAGTTGGCTCTGTTTACCAGCACCTCTGGTCAAACGGGGAAAATGAAACTGAAAGCAGTGTAATTCCTTCCGGTGCTTTTGCTGGGATGTCTTTATTCTCTACTTGGATATTTTTCACTCAGGGGTTCCTTCCTTCTCTGCTCCTTTACTCGGACTGGCCAATCTCGGTTGTAACAGAAACATTTGGTTCAAAGAGTCCATTGCTGGGCGATTTTGCTTATGGAGCACCATGGAGTTAGACTGCAGAGGGTGGGGACTCTGGGACAGAGCGGCAAGACAGCAGGAAAGTATGGCTCTGTGATTGTAGCAGGTGCAGCGAGGCTTACTTACACTGGATCTAAATTGCTCGGGTCTGCTCTAGGGCAGTTGGACTAAACTGATGCTCCCGGGTTCCCTGTTTGTGCAGTGTGTCTGTGCACATGCGTGGAGGGGACAGGACTCGTGAACAGTTTTTAATGAAGGGGCATAACTAGCCCCACCATTTACCGAAAAGCCTAATATCTGCCACACCCCTATTTTAACGCACTTTACACAGGTGACCATGCTCACTGCTGCCCCCATTTGAGGGAACAGAAAATGGAGACTCCGTAAGCGAAAGTTACACAATCGGGATCTAATAGTCGACAGTTATATGGGTAGGAGCTCAGAACTAGGTCTTGCTGAGGTTGAGTCTCCGCTCTTTAAACTAGTGTGGATAGGAGCTCATGGTGTGCACAACAGACACGCACAAGCCCGGGGACACTCTGAGAGTGGCTGGCCTTTCTGTGGCACAAGAAACGCAAGTGGACACAGCTGCATTTTTTAACTAAATGAGTGTTCTTTTTCTTTTTTTTTAAACAAGGCTCTCTACTTCTAGTCAGAGTGTGTTTAAATAACATGAAAAGAGATTTATTAATATAGGTTGAGAATCCTAAAAACAAGCATATCCTTTCTTTAATTAATCATTCAATTCTTTGAAATCTATCATAAGAAATCTATGGTAAGATCTAGCATAAGAAAACAAAGTAAAATGAGGTAAATTTGCTGCAGCAACACTTTTTAGGATTGTTTAAAAATTCTCATTAAAAAATTGTGTTTAAAAATTATTTTAAAAAACTGCTCAGTAATAGGTAAATAAAACAACAAATGATGACCTATCACACAGCCATTAAAAATGTTTGAAAAGACTTTATAATAAAATAACAGGAAATGATGTATGGTGTGGCGTTAAATGAAAATGAAGGACACAAAGTTACTTACACAGCATGACTCCGACTGTTTTTTTAAAGTCTATAGAAATATTCTTAAACAGTCACAATGTTTGTGGGATTACAGAGGAATAATTTTCATAATTTTAATTCATGTATATTCATGATATCATGTAATACAAAGTTCTATAATAAATGAGTAAATGTACTTTGAAAAAGTTGCTAGTAAAATTCATTTCTCGAGCTCAAGCATTTCTGACTATTATAAAGTCACAAAGTACCTCTTTTGTCTCCAGGTGTAAAGTCAGAAGACTCCCAAGAGCGTTGTCCTTCCTCATACTGCTGATCTGGAGCCAGAGAATCCCTACTGAGTTTTTAGAGCTCTGTGTTTCTTTGATCAAGTCCCAAGAAGATAAGTTTTTATTTTCTCAAAGAAAGGCAGAAGGTTGTAACCAGTGGAACTTACCATCATGGAGACGGACAGCCGTCACCACCCCCAGGAGAGACCCACACCCTCCAGCCATCGGAGGACTTCAGGGGACAACAGTCATTTGTTGATAGAAGCTGTCAGAGGAGACATAAAGCGGGTCCAGCAATTGCTGGAAGAAGGGGCTGATGTCAATTTCCAGGAAGAGGAAGGGGGCTGGTCCCCTTTGCACAATGCAGTAAAGATCGGAAGGGAGGACATGGTGCATCTTCTGCTCTGTCACGGTGCGGACCCTTGTCTGAGGAAGAGGAATGGGGCCACTCCCTTCATCGTTGCTGGGATTGTGGGACATGTGCAGCTGCTGAAGCTTCTGCTTTCTAAAGGCGCCCAGGTCAATGAGCGTGATCACCATGGCTTCACAGCGTTCATGGAAGCCGCTTGGTATGGCAAGGTCGAAGCCTTGCGATTCCTATATGAGAATGGAGCAGAGGTGAATTTGGGTCGAGAGACTATGGAGGACCAAAAGAAGCTTAAAAAGGGAGGGGCTACAGCTCTCATGGATGCTGCTAAAAAGGGACATGTAGAGGCCTTGAGGATCCTCCTCGACGAGATGGGGGCAGATGTGAATGCCTGTGACAATATGGGCAGAAGTGCTCTGATCCACGCTCTCGCAAACCTCAAGAAGAGTGACGTGGCGATGAACATCGCTCACCTTCTCTTGGCCCACGGGGCTAACATCAACGTGAGGGGAGAAAAAGGGAAGACGCCCCTGATTCTGGCAGTGGAAAACGATCACTTGAATGTGGTGAAGATGCTTCTGGAGCAAGAACACATAGAGATCGATGACACAGACAGGGAGGGCAAGACAGCGCTGCTGTGGGCTGTCGAGCTCCAGCGGACGGAGATTGCCGAGTTGCTGTGTAGCAAGGGAGCCCGCACGGATTGCGGGGACCTTCTTCGGTTAGCGAGGCGCTGTTACGACAGTGCCCTTGAAAAGCTTCTTCTGGACCACGGAGCCAAAGAAAACTATCGACCCCCTGCTGTGGACTGGGAGCCTCACAGCTCGCACTGGGGGCCGGCCCTGAAACATCTCCACAAGATATACCGCCCTATGATTGGCAAACTCAAGATCTTCATTGACGAAGAATACAAAGTTGCTGACACTTCGGAAGGGGGCATCTACTTGGGGTTGTACGAAGGGCAAGAGGTAGCTGTGAAACGGTTCCACGAAAACAGCACTCGTGGCCAAAACGAAGTGTCCTGTTTGCGAAGCATCCGCACGAACAGTAACCTGGTGACATTCTATGGGAGTGAGCAGGACAGGGGCCTTCTGTATGTGTGTGTCTTGCTCTGTGAGCAGACGCTGGAGATGCACTTGGCCAAGCACAGACAGGAGGAGGCTGTGGAAAATGAGGAAGATGAGTTTTCCCGAAACATCCTCTTATCCATATTTAAGGCTGTTGCTGAGTTACACCTGTCATGTGGGTACACGCATGAGGATCTGCAGCCACGGAACGTCTTAATAGGTGAGTCCCCTGTCATCTCATAGGAATTATGGGATCTTTATTGACGAAAGGAAAGTGTTTCCATTGTATATAGGGAAGGACTAGAGTAAATGTAAATTATCCACTTTGAGGGTTAATGCAACAAAGTTTTAGTTACAGTGCAGTCTCTTCTGCTTCCAGTTACAACCCTTCCTCCTCCTGGAGGTCGCAGGTGCTGATGGAATACCAGCTCACCTCACATTCCCTGGGCAAATACAAATATAAAAGTATGTCCTGAATGGAGCCAGCTCCAGAAATTTGGATTCCTAGAGGAGTCTTCCAGTCAGAGAATCCTGAAGGTGTGTCCCCTCAGACAAGGTGGCAGTTACTTTGAAACTTAATGGCGAAACTGAAGTCAAAATTGGGGATGCCAAGACAAGATGTGACACAGTGAAACAGACTCCAAGGGCAGAACAGGTAGCATCTACTGGTTCAAACCCAAAACAAACTACCGTATTTTGCCGTGTATAAGGTGCACCCACATTTTTGGCCCAAACTTTCTGGGGCAGGGGAAACCCTTTCACTTTAATTTCTTCATTCGATTTTTATTTATTTATATTTAGATACTTGATTTTTGTATTATAAATAAATTTTAGCATTTATTTTTGAACATATTATGATACAAGAAATTTGGATAGGTCCTATGGATATTGACCTAACCATATCGCCCCGACTGAGAATCAGATTGGTGACCCTTTGCTTTGCAGTCTGGCATTCGGTCCACTGAGCCACACCAGTCAGGGCCCACACATGCTGATTTCTAAGTTCAAAATAAAAGGGCTTTGAGAAGCACACAATTGCTCTGGCTGTCATCCTTCTCAGACTCCATTAAGCAAGGAGGAGGAGCCACTTCTCTGAGGACAAATCACTGCCTCGCTCTGCTGTCATTTCAGGGCAGGGAGGCAGTGACTCATTACAAGCCCAGGGTGGGCCCACGGTAACTGATGACAATGTCATAGTGGGCTGTGGTGAGTGGGCTCAGTTTTGTGGAGTGTTTTGCTAAGGCAATCTTGGGCGTAGAGCCTTGTTGGCTAGTTGTTCTTTGGCCATAGGGTGTCACCTTAATTCTGCTGATAACTCCTTTATGAATCTGTGCTCTTTGCTCCTACTCTCTGGCTTGGAAAAAAAATATATATATATGACCTGCTATTTGTAGATAATGGATAGATCAAATGGCACAGTGTCTGTGTTTTGAGGAGTAAATAGCAATGCAGATATAAGACTTATTATTTCCTTCTGTAGAGATGATGGGTTGCATATTGTTACATATTTATTTAAATAAATGACAACACGAAGGATGAGGATTTTCGATGCACCTTGACAAACTATCCCTTAGATTCCAAGAATGCTGTGCGCCTGGCAGATTTTGACAAAAGCAGAAAGTGGGCTGGAGAGCCAGAGAAAACCAAGAGCGATCTAGAGGTAATTTCTGTGGTCTTTTCTATCTTTCTGCTTCCTTATTCATTCATTACCTCACTTCTTGTGGCCAATGAGAGGGTGTTCCTATTTGAACCAGGAAGGGAAGAACTTTGAAGTCACTCCCCTGGTGCTGACTACTGTTGCTCCCTTGCAGACCAGGGCATTTCCCTGGGTTGGTGTGGACTGGTTGTCATTGTGGCTTCTTTCTCCGTCTCTTTGGATCTCTTTTCTTTCTCCACTATTTACACAAGTAAATAAATTGAGCATTCCACACCCTTTCTCATACGACCTCTAGGAGGTATGCCCCAAAAAACATCTCCAGAATTCCTGCAGGAGGCGTTTTCTGCCCAAGGACCAAGTAAATAAGATTTCTTTTGCTATTCCATTCAAACTCCAAAGAGGGCCAGACACTAAGGCCCTCTGAAACAGCCTGGAGGGATCCCTGCTCTAAAGAGTCTACGTTTGGCCAAAAGCTGGACTGAAATAACTGTTTCCTCTGAGAAGAGACAGAGCCCAGCCCTTGCCGACTAAAGCTCCCCATTGATTCTGACCTGGTCAAGGCAGATTTCCTCTGCAAAATTCTCTACTGTGTTGAACTTTCAAGAATGAAATCCATCCCTGGGTCTGGACTTGGTGGTTCGGTGACTCCAGATTTCTTGCCTGATTCAGGCGTTCCTGTGCTGGCCTCCTTCTTGGCCTTTCCTCCCTGCCATGGCCTAACCCTTGGGGTCATCACTGTGTCCTATTTGTCCTGGACTGGCTCCTTTACCTGCCACCTCACATAGCCCCAAGTCAAAGTCCCAGTTCCCAGCTCCTGGCACTCCCTTATTTAAAACCTTCTCTCCTTCCCCTGGTTATCTAATTTCCACCCATATTTGGAGGTCCAGCTCACATCCCTCTTTCTCGAGGCAGTCTGCCCTGGCAGTGCTGGCCCAGGATTATCTTTTGCTCCTTATAAGCTGTAGCTGTGAGGACTACATAATGCCTTGATGAGTTCTCTATGCACAAACCTGTGTCTTCCCTCCCTAACCAGCCTGTGGGCTCCTTGAGATTCCTCCCATTTTCCATTTGCCCCTATTCTGCACCACACACTCCAAGGTTACCCAATGAAGTGGTCATTCCTAAGCACCTTTGGCTTCATTGGTGGTTTTCGTGCAGGCCCTTGGGCGGCTGGTCCTATACGTGGTAAGGAAGGGAGATGTCCCTTTTGAGACCCTGAAGACTCAAAGTAATGAGGAGGTGATTCAACATTCTCCAAGTGAGGAAAGTCAGAACCTCATTCAGCACCTGTTCTGCCCTGGGGAGAATGAGAAGAACCATCTGAGAGACCTGCTGGGTCACCCTTTCTTTTGGACTTGGGAGAGGTAAGTAGAACTTAAGTGCATGTCACAGGGCCCCGGAATGGTGACACAGTGAGTGTATTGGTGAGGCTTCCCTAGAGGAACAGAACCAACAGAAATACATATATAATACTGGAGAGGGCAATCCGCTTCACGGGGCCCACTGATTCAAATGCCAGTCTCACCTGGAAACACCCTCACAGACACAGCCAGAATAATGTTGAATCTGGGCACCCTGTGCTCAGTCAAGTTAATATGGAAATTACTCATCACAGTGAGGTGGCATAGGCAGGAGTCAGGGTGAGAATCTGCAGACTCCGCTTTCCTCTTAGCTGGTCATTTCCTGGCTGTGTGTCCTTGGAGTGGTGACTTGACCTCTTTGGGTTCTGGTTCTGTCTTTTGAAGGTGACGGGGAGAGAGAGAGAAAGAAAGAGAGAGAGAGAGGAGCGAGGGAGACAGGTTCCCATCTTTTACTATGCAGAAATTTTATTTATTTTTTTAAAAATAAGTTTCTGTTCTATGAAATAGATTTTTAAAAAGATTTTACTTATTATTTTTAGAGAAAGAGGAAAGGAGAGAGAAAGAGAAAGAGAGAAACATTAATGTGTGGTTGCCCCTCACGCATACCCCACTGGGGACCTGGCCCACAACCCAGGCATGTGCCATGACCGGAAATCGAACCAGCAGACCCTTGGTTTGCAGGCTGGTACTCAGTTTGCTGAGCCACATCAGACAGGGCAGAAATTTAAAGACATAGTTTTGTTACAGGACAGACTTTGGGGGGGGTGTGAACAATGTACTGTTACCAAAAGGACCCCCCCTCTTTCTCCGGGGGTTCCCCCTCCATACTAGGTTTGCTTTGCCCCTTGCCAGGGGAAAGACATCTCTCAATGCCAGAGATTGGTGAAAAGGAAACGAATTATTTATTTAAAAGTTATACAGACTTAGAGTAATGACTTAATGTCTTTATTAAAATACTAAAGTCCTTTAGAGTACCCACAGATGCACAGTCCTTCCTTCTCCCTCTGCCAAGTCTGGGGTACCATATCTCAGGAAAAGAAGTAGAAGTCCATGATGCAGGCTCCTGGCACCATCAGCTGTGTCACTGCCACAATCTCCAGTTAATCCAAAGCCATGTGGCACCTCCTCATGGCCCACCAGCAAGAGTCCTTTCACCCCTCTTCTTCCAGGCAAAGTCTCTCCTGCTTCCTAAGTCATGTGGCAAAAGGGAGCAACCCAAAGCCATGTGGCCCCAACTCTTGCCCAAGCTGCAGTGTCACCCCTCAGCCAAAACCGCGTGGTCCCCCTGCCATGGCTGCTGTGCCTGGGTTTAAGTCCCAGAGCCAGTCTTCTCTGCAGCCTCATTTCCAACTCCTCCTATAATCAGTCACACCTGCCAGCATTCCTGTCCTCTTCCAGCTTTACTGGCATGGAGCCCATGGCATGGAGCCAATCATCTCCAAGCTCTCTCACAGGCGCTGTAACCAGGGGAGTTGCTTCTCAGTCACATCATGGGTGGAAGTCGGTTTCATCCCCCTGGCTCAAAGCATGGACACAGCTATTTAACATATCTATGAGTCCAGTTAAAGGTTATAGATATGTTAAATGACCACAGCAGAGGTTAGCTGCAAAGCTGTTGCTGTTCAAAACAGCTCTCGATGGCCCTGCTCCATGTGTCCCATCCCCCAGCTCAGACTCATGGAGATGAGGATATCCTATATATATTTTTTCTAATAGTTCCCGGACATTCTAAGTTCTGGACCCCATTACAAATCCCTATTTGGGGGCCCCCCTTGGCTGTACCCTATTACAGTTTTACTACTTTTATGAAAAATCAAAATCTAACAAGTGTTCTCTTTCTGGAAACAGTGGAAAGGCTAAATGACCATGATAATTCTGTCACCCTCAGCCGCTATAGGACCCTTAGGGACGTGGGCAATGAATCTGACATCAAAACTCGGAATCTGAACAGCAATATCCTCCAACTCCTGCAGCCTGGACCACCAGATTGTTCCAAAAGTTTTTACCAGTGGACCTCTAAGGTATGGACAGTTCCCAAGGTCTGAGAGTCATTTCAGAAATAAGAAGCTGGGTCATGTTCTTTTTTTAAATTTAATTATTGTTCAAGTATAGTTTTCTGTCTTTTACTTCCATCCCAGCCCCTCCCACCTAGTGCTCCCCACCTCCCTCCCATTTCCACCCGTTAGTTTTTGTCCATGTGTCCTTTATACTTGTTCCTATTGGGTCATGTTTTATGATAGCTTTTCTAACATTTTTTTATACCGTTGGTCTGGCCCAACCAACAGATGAAAGAGGGAATTTCCCTTCTCTTCCACCCCATCCGAGTCCCCTCTTCCCTTTTGGGTCTCTGCCCTCCCTTTTAGAGGTCAAGCCTTCCTGATAGACTCCCATCTAGACTCCTCTTTAGGGTACTCTAGTCCCAGCCCCTTTTTGCTTCCTGTGGCTCTTTCTCTCAAGACTTGTTCTGTGATCCTATTTCCATAGTAACAAGAGCAACTGATTAAATGGGGCTTAGCCCAGAGGAGGTGCTCCACAGAGGCCTTTCAGTCCAGGGCCTCTGCTGCCTGTGACCAGCCCAGCTTTCATAACACACCTCCATCCCTGACAGAACAGAGTGTGAAGAAGAGATGATCTTTCAAATTCCTCCTTTTCCAGAAAAGGTCCACCTAACTTGAACTAAATATAGTGGGACATCAAAATTAATCACCATCTTGATCTAGTCAAGAAGTTTCATTAGTGTTAATTAGAACACGTCTGTTGAGTACCAGGTATGTGCTAGGCTCATGGGAGGTCATGGGTACACATAGAGTATGACCTGGTCCATGTGGGGCCAGAAGCCACATAGAAACAATGGCGTGTGATACCTGCTGGGCACCCAGAGACAGGGCACAACACTACAAGAGAATCCACAATCCTGAAGTCGCCGAGACCAACCACTTCCCTATCTCAGACGACCTTGGACTGTGTTTTTTACATACTTTGTTGTTGGGTCTCATTTTGCTTTCCTTCCCTCGTTTGACTCCAGGCTGCACACCACATTCATAATTGCTAGCTTTAACATTCATCTTCCTGCTCTCCCATAAATTCCACAAGGCAGAGACCACCTGTTATCCTGTCCGTTTTTCTCTTCCTGACATGGAGTAGGTGTGCTGTGACTCTTTTTCATGTGAATATCTATAAAACTTCAGCTGGAACTTAAACTTGTAGAAACAGAGAAATTTGAAGCGAGAGCATAGTTAGTGATAGTTAGCGTAAGTTATAGGGTAGCTATAGTTCTGAGGACTTTGTGGGAGTCACCACAGTTAATCCTTAAAACAACCACAGAGGCCGGTATCTCCATTTTGCAGGTGGGCAAAGACAATTTTTCCAAAGGCACAGAGCCAGTAAGGTGTTCAGCAGGACTTGCAGCTGGTGCCAATGGTCCACCAAGTCATTGTTGCTGAGGAAATTGAGGCTCAGGGATGCAACCCCAAACACTTGGGACTGGAAAGCAAGAGATGAGCAGAGTTCGGAAGAGAAACCTATTCTTTTATTCCCCAATTCATGGGTTGTTCCCCCTAAACTGCATTGACTTATATTCAATTTTGATGAATTTCAAGAGTTATAGTTTTAAATTCTCATTTGAGACTTTTTTCTGTTGACTTTAGTCGCTTGCCCATTTTCCTGGTGGTACAGTTTGGGGCAGCTCAGGTCCACAGCCAAGTTCTCCAGCGTATTTCCTGCCTTTCTTCATTGGGATGCCCCACCCCCCATATACACATTGCTCAGCATTTCCCACGTGTGCTCTGCATATAGAACACATGGGCAGTCTCAGTGGGTCTCCTCTAGTCTTGGTCCAGTCACCAGTCACTCTTCCTAAGGGACGTATGGCTTTGTGGTTGTGACATCATGTTCCCTTACTCCAAACTTTTTCTAAATATGACACTACCTACAAAGATGCCGGCACAAAGAGGAAGGCATTCACGTGACAGCAGTCACTCTGGGACACGTGGAGGCGAGGAGAAACCTGTAACCCCTTTGGGAATATAATTTTTTGGGGGGGAATATAATTTTAAAGAAAAGGAAGCAGAAACCAACCACAGTCACTTTGGCAGTGGCTGCCTGTCTGGTGTCAGCTTTGAGGAAGTGGAATCAAGTATGAACTTGGAAGGGGGGCCGCAAAGATGAAAAGATGGGGTAGTATAATAAGCACACTTCCTAGTATAGTGGCCGAAGATTTTCTAAACCATGTTTTAATATATTTAATTTCTTATGAAAACAATTCACTTGGAAAACAGAGAGACAAATTTAAAGTTACCAATAGTACCACATCCAAACACCACTGTGGTTAGCATTGCTTGTTAAATTAGCAATGTTAACACATGGTCGAATTTGCATTTTGCCTTTTTGTTTTCCACCAGGATTTATTTTGCATTGCTACCACATTTTTTTGTGTGTAATGTTTTCTTGTTTAGATTGACGAATATGTTATGGAAAAAATGAATGAGTTTTATAAAAAAAACTGCAATTTTTATAAAGATACTGTCGGGGATCTGCTAAAGTTCATCCGGAATTTGGGGGAACACATTGATGAAAAAAAAAATATAAGGTAAGTATTGTTTTCATTCTTCTACATCATATACGTAATGAGGAAGATTTAAAAATCCAGTCCTAAATTTGTATCTGCTATTTGATGGGAAGAACAAAATTAATTTCGATGAAAGAAAAGTAACTCCTCCCCTCTGCCCGGAAAAGGGCCCTTATCAGGGTCTTACAATGAACGATGGATGTAGCCAGCAGGCTCTCATCTTCCTTTTTAACTTGGGCTGAGTCCCCTTCAACAGAAGGCTAGTGACTCCCTTGTGTGAAGAGACACAGGGAAGGGACAGCTGGGTATAAAGAACGTAACATTATAAAAGTCTACAAAGTAGTCCCATGTTAGTTAAATCAGCTTTTGTTGCCAAAATGTTAGCTGCAAACTCATTTAAAAAAGTTGTCGCAGTTGCTAGGGCTCTTTTTGATTTTTGGAAAGGTAGATAAGGGGTTGTGCAATTGTAGTAAGCCCATTTTATGGATGGATGATGCAACTGAGGTTCACAATGATCACATTGCCCAAGTTTGCACAATCAGTTGAAGAGTCCGGAGATGACTCTTGCTCTGTCAGATCCCCAAGTCCTCATTCATTCTGCCATAGAAATCAAGGGGCACAGTGATCTCCAGGCCATGTGCTATGAAGGGGGCAAGAATTTGGGGCATGTACATCAACATATTTACATTTCATTTCAGAATGAAGTCGAAAATTCAAGACCCTTCCCAGTATTTTCAGAAGAAATTTCCTGATCTGATCATCTACATCTACCTACAACTACGGAACACAGAGTACAAAAGGCATTTCCCCAAAGTGCACAATGGGGATGATGGTGGCCAGCAGGCTAGCCAGCTGTGAGTGCTGACCGAGCCTTCTGAGTTCAGCAGTTCCTCATTAGCTGTGTGACCCTGGGCAAGTCACAGCTCTCTGGGCGTCTTGACTAACCTGGATGCTTGCGAGGGATGAGTTGGATGGCTGATGGCCGTTCCTGGCAATGTGCCCAGCATTTCCTATACATTTATAATTTAAAAAAAGTATATGCCCAAATTACCCTGGTGCTCTTGGGGGAAAAGTCAGAGGCAGGAGCTGGAAGGGCATCCTGCTGAGATTCCTCTTGTCTATTGCACTGAAGAAGTGAGTGCCTAAACCTCTAATACTTACTGTATGTTATACCAATTATCTCATGTAATTATCCCAATGGTCTTGCAACATGGGTTAATATCCCCATTTAAGAACTGATGAACTTGAGACTCAGTTTAAACTACTCGCCTCAGACCATACGACTGGTACAGAGCACTGTATGGGTGGAGGTGGTGTTGTTACCTCTTACGAAGGCATCTTAGAACTTCATTACTAGTCCAGGGATCATCTGGATGAAACCTAAAAGGAATCTGTCAAAAGGGCTCCTGGTGGCTTCATTCATTCATTCATTCATTCATTCATTCATTCATTATTGAGCACAAGTCAAGACACTCATTTATTTATGAATTTCATTCCCTCTAGAATGGCCTGCACTGGTTTTCTATGGATTTAAGGCAGTAGCACTCAACTGGGAGCAATTTTGCCTCTCAGGGGCCATTTGGTAGTGTCTCTGGATGTTTTTGGTTGTCAAAGCTGGAGGTGCTAATAACCCCGCACCTAGTACGGGTTATTAGCACCTAGTACATGGAGGTCAGGGATACTGCCACACATTCTACAATGCACAGGCTAGCCCCCCACATCAAAGAGTTACCCAGCCTAAAGTACCAGTGGTATTGAGGTTGAGAAACTGCCTTAAGGGGCTGGGACACTTTGGAACTGGCTCGGGGCCCGGGCCCAAGGAGCATGTGGGCCATCTCACCACGTATGACTTGGGTTTGCTGTTTTGATTTGGGATCTGTAGTGAGCCACTTCCAGTTTTGCCCCCTCAGAAGTCCTCTGAACACCCTCGCCTTCCACACCTCAGTCAGGGGGCTCTTTCTGACTCCTTGGCACCCAAAGCCACATCAGAGGTTGCTTCTCCCCACCTTGTATATTATGATATATATTAAGAAGATATATGTAAAGAGAATATAAACAGATGTGATGGAAGTGTTTTGTTAAAAATCTAATTTATATTATTTGATAAATAATACCGTGGAGGGATCAGTAGTAAGAAACAGCCACACTCTCATTACGATGATGAACTTCACAATTTCCATGTTCTATCTCAGACTTGGTTGACAAGCATAGGAGAGTTTTGCATAATTGACAACCGAGTGTATTATTTCATTCTGATGTTGCTTTTTAAACTTATTATATTAAAAACAATATCATTGATTTATTGTAATTATTTTAAGTGACTGTATAATGCACTATCAAGTTAAGATGTTAAAAATTGTCTAAACATTTCCTTTTGGCTTGTTTTTAGCTCACTTCCTCTTAGGAATATGAATAACACTCCAAGGAGCTACTTGAAGCATGTAACTTCTTCCCTTTATAAATAAAAAATTGTAGTTGGTACTTGAAATATGTGAGATTTGTATGTGTTTGTATATTTAATTTCAGTTCATTGCAGGAAAGTTAATTTTAGAGAAGAAAATAAATGCCACCAAGTAATCCCAACACTTGGAATAATTGAGGTTAAACTTTTGGTTTTAAAAGATGCATGATTATGACATAATTATCTTATAATCATTGGGAGATATATATGATATTATTAATAGTAAATAAGTAGTAAATAATAGTAAATAGTAACTCATTGGAATATTTATAGATATGATATTATCAATAGTAAGTAGAAAACTAGAAAAAAAGAAGAACAAATTAAATCCATGCTAAGCAGAAAATTATAAATAAGAAGACTCAGAGTAGAAATCAATGAAATTAAAAACAGGAAGTCAATAGGGAAAATCAATGAAACTGAAAGCTGGTTCTTTGAAAAGATCCATGATATCAATAAGCCGCGGACACTGAAAGGATAATAAAGGACTACTACGGACAACTCTATGCCACAAATGTGATAAGTAGGACCAATTCCTTGAAAGACACAATTCTCAAGCATTCCCCAAGAGAAAGCAGGCAATCTACATAGGCCTATATCTGCTCAAGAAATTCAATTAATAAGGAATAACTTTCAAAAACAGAAATCACCAGGGCCAAATGGTTCACGGTTAATCCCACCACACATGTAAGGGATGTGGTTTTCTTTCCTTCCGATGTCTTTGTCCGGGTTTGGTGTTAGAGCAACGCTGGCCCCACAGGGTGAAGTAAGAGGCATTTCCTCTGCTTCTACCCTCTGACAGCGATTGTAGAGAACTAGTGTGTCGGGTAGAATTCAACAGGGAAACCATGTGGCCTCATGAGTTCTGTTTCGGAAGGTTGCTAATTATTGTGAAAACCAGAAAGAAAGGAAGAAAAGAAATGTTTGAAGCAATAATGACTAAAAATCTATCTCCTCACATTAATGCTTGACACCAAACCACAGATCAGGGTGCTTAGAGAACACCAAGAAGAGTGACTGCCACATCATACTCAACCTGCGGAATATCAAAGATAAAGGAAAAAGTCCATGCTGCTGTGGCTCTGTTGGGTGATGCCCCACAAACCAAAAGGAGACCGGTTTGACTCCTGGTCAGGGCCCATGCCAGGGTTGCAGGTTCAGTTTCCAGTTGGGTTGTGTACAGAAAGCAGCCAGTCAGTGTCTCCCTCTCACGCTGATGTTTCTGTCCTTCTACTCCCTCCTTTCCCCTCTCTCTAGAATCAAACATCAAATATTAAAATATTTTTAAACAATAAAAGGAAGGATAAAGAAAAAATCTGGAAAGAAGCCAGAGGAATAAATGCCTTACCTATAGAGGAACACAGAGAAGAATTACATTTGACTTCTCTCAGAAACCACGCAAGCAGGAGGCAGGGAGAGGCCTGACCTGTCCATACCGCCCTTAGCTCGCCTGTAGCCTGTTAAACAAGTCTCACAGTTCCTCTCCCTTTTTGTCACGTGCTCAGCGCTCAGTAAGGGGTTGCAAATACTTCAAAGCATCTGGTCAGGGAGTGCATCAGGAGGAAACTTTTTCACCTCCTATTAACTGTAAACACATAATTCTTCCAAATGGCTACGTAGACATGCGGAATGAAATAGATCTGTGGGTGTCCTGGCCACTCCCCACCCCGCCCATGAATCATGGGTCTTGTTGGAGGAAACACGATCGAATTTCCTCCAGAATTAACCATTCAACTCTACCACTTCCTTCATGTTCTGGGAAGTTTAGGGAAAAGGAAGAAAGAAGGGCAGCAACCAGTGTCCTTGGCCCTGACTCCGTGCCTGGCCCCACACTGTGCCCTTGGCCCGTGGCATCTCTTGGGTATCCAAACAACCCTATGAGGTCGATAGTTTCATCTCCATGTGAGACGCAAGGGGATTTGGACTCAGGGAGGTTAACTAATTCTCTGACGATCAAATCACATCTCAGATCACGTTACTAGGGCGTGAAGATGGGATTTAACACCAACCTGACTCATGGAAAACTCGGTTCTGAAGGAAAGGCCGCAGGGCCTCCTGGCCTGGACTGTGTCGATCAGGGCAGGTTGGTTTTTTTTTTTTTTAATACTCACCTGAGGATGTTTATTGATTTTAGAGCAGGTAGGGGAGAGAGAAACAAAAACGTCGGCGTGAGAAAGAACATTGATCGGTTGCCTCTCACATACACCCTGACTGGGGATCAAGCACGCGGCCTAGGTATGTGCCCCGACTGGGAATCGAACCCTCCACCTTTTGGTATAGGTAATAATGCTCCAACTAACTGAGCCACCAGGCCAGGTCTGGCGCTTGGTCTTGATCCAGAATGGGAAGTAATATTTCCAGTAACCTCTTAAGTTGGAAATGACTTTTGGATTCCTCTGGGGAGCAACCGAGTGTTTCTTGTGCCCTTATCTTTAAGAAGAGAATGGGAGGCCCTCAGATGGTGAATGTGCACACTCTTTATTCTGGTTGGTGATCTGCAGCCCTGGCCGAGGTGTAGGGGTGGGGACGGGTGCCCCGAGGGGCTGCACGTGCCCTTCTGTGTGGTGACACTTGGATCAGTTGGAGGTACCCAACATGAGGGACAGATGTCTTTTTGTACTTCTGTAGGAAGAGGGGAGATTGCGCGTCACTCCCTGTCACACGTAACGGAAAAGGCTCCTTCGGTGGGGAAGGCACGTCTCACTCAGTCTCGTTTTCTTTTCCTCTGCCTCTGTCTGTCACTCTTGAGTCTGAATGGGTTATATGAGCTTCCTTAAAAAAAAAAAAAGACCAGAAAGTTCTTCAGGCATCAAGAAAGACTGGAACAAAAGAAAAATTCATAAGGACGATTTGATATTTCTTCTTTATTGTGCCAGCCATAATTGTAATTGATTACCGATTTGATTTCCTGGCAAAGCAAAATGCTCTCATTGACTGTGAAGTCAGCGCAATGGACAGGCATAAACTGCAAATTCTGTTTCCTCCACTACACTCCCTGCACCTAGCACCGTTCGTTTACTCACGCCGTCACTGGGTGTTGATGGGACAGCCCTTACCTGCAGGGCACTGTGGCCTGAGTTGGAGGTGCAGAGAAAGCTAGGATGTGCTCTCTGCCCCACAGAAGCACAGGTTCTGCTAGGTGATCCACAGACACAAACAGGTGTCTCCAAAGAGGGAAAACAGCGTGTTGCAGAGACAAAGAGCAGTGAGAGGAGAGAGGAGACAACCAGGAGGTGTCACCTCTGTGATGTCTCTTGTCACCGGGTAGAGAACAAAGGGCAGGGCATTTAGATGGTGGTGTTGCTGGGGGACAGGATGCATGAGTGGGGGAAGCAAGAGAGGCGACCAGAAGCCTAGACTGGTGTCAGATGGTCAATGGGCTTGTATATGCCACTGAGGCGTTGAGGTGTTTTCCACTCAGGCACAGAAAGGCTGACGGCTGGGGAAGAAACTGACCTCAGTGCTGTAACTGAAGACTGAATCCTGCCAACAACCTGCTGAGCAACAAAAGGGACCCACCCCTAGAGCCTGCTGAAAGGAGGGCAGTTGTGCCAACATTAGCCCCACGCACCCCAGGTCAGACTTCTGACCCACAACACCGCCGGACAGTCCTTCTGTGTTGTGTTAAGCCACTAAGATGCTGGCAGTTGTCTACGGTACCAGCTGAAAAGTAACAGAGGGACCAGAGTAGGCCAGCCTCCTCCGCCCCTTCCAGAGCCTTTTCTTTACATGCCTGTGGCCTCCATGGGTCCATTGTTGGGGCTTTTCTTCCCCCTCCTATGTTTTCTGTCTAAGGTAGACCCTGGACCCAAATATAATTTCGAGGGGAAAGAAAAAGCTTAAAGCAACAATGGCAAGTTTTGCGTGACCTGCAGAGTATTAAAAATATTTTGAACTCCGCATTCTTCTTCCTTCTTCCTTTGCCCCTCCATTCTCTCCTCCCTCCCTCCTTTCTCTTCTTTCTTTTTTTCCCTAAGAAGCTGTCGCTGTCCCCCATGAGGTGTATTCTCCGGCTCACCACACTGTACCCCCCCATCTTCTCTCAGGCTTTACTTTGTTCTCTTACATTACCTGTCTGCCTTTGAGAGGTGACTGGATCTGAGACACTAGTCTAAATCTCAAGTTAGGACATGCTAGACCTGGGATCTCGGAGGTGAGATGGGGTAGGAAACCATGGGGAGCGATCAGCGAGATGGCTGATCGAAGAGCGGGACTCGTTTCTGTTTAGGGTGGTCCTACTAAGTACCGTGTAGCCTCCAGCCAGGTCTCCTGTGGTCTTCTTGGCTGGTCGCTGCCACGGGTGCACCGAGGTGGTCCCAGTCTCTGTCTGTGACCTCTGTCTTGATATCACACCACTTTTAATCCTTGGGACAAGCCTGGGAAATAAAGGACATCAGCACAGCAGGGGACGTTGGTTGGAAGTGGGACAGGGTTCCCCAATAAGCTCTCCAGCCTTTCCCCGTCCTGCGGCAGGTGCGGTCAGCGTGCCGACCGCCCTTCAGTCGGCGCAGGTGGGGAGCTCACTGGGGTGGGGACATTCTGACTATCGTTTCCCCCCTGATTTTCCTGAAAGGACAGAAAAATGGGCCTGGACACTAAACAATGAGAATAAGTTAGGCCTTCAGGTCAGAATTTTTCCAAAGAGTCTCTTTATCTAAGTAATTGGCAAATGAACAGAACTCCAGGGAAGAATGACTTCTTTTTGTGTGAAAAGTTGCAGAGATGGCAACCACAGAATGAGGGGCAGCCAACGAATCAGAAGCGGATATTCTAGTCTGGGCTCTGCATTTACCACTCAGAGCTCACAGGAAAACCGCTCCCCTCCTGTGTGGGTCAGTTTCTTCAGCTGTATAAACATTCATGACCTTGACATGGTTACTCATGGGGGTCTGAGGGTTCGCTGAGACAATGGGTGGGAGTCGTTGTCCAAATGGGAGATCCTGGTATTAAAAGACCCCATCTGTCACTGCTAATAAAACCAGCAACTTGCTTCTTAGGGTGTTTAATGCCATAACCACACGTCTGTGTCAAGATTC